TTCCCACCCCCAGGCCTCCCCCCAGGTGGCCCTGGCCGCCCTCTTCCATGAGGCTCCTAGCTACAGGTCCAGTGATGGGCTGGAGCCCTGGACCCCTAGAAGGCATAAGCTGTGTTCTCCACAAACATATCCTCAGCTCCCCAGGGATCCCCAACCCTCAACTTTCCTGAACCCAACCATGTGAGGTAAGATGTGAGGCTCCTTTCTGCAGAAGGCAGGGGAGGAAAGAAAGCAGGGCTAGAGCTGGGAAGAACTTCCAGCTCCTCCTGGACCCATCCTCTTCTTCCTCCTCCCCTTTTACAGATGCGAAAGGTGAGGCTCAGAGGGGATGGTTCAAGGTTAACCCATGCCAGGTTAGACAATTTAACTCCCAGGAATATTAAATGAAAGAATAGAAGAGACCTGAAGGTTAATTCCAGCTCAGCCTCCAACTTCATGTGTGAGTCTAGAACCAGATACTTAGTTTTCCCATCTGTAAAATGGGAACAACATTGTGGTCCTGTGTCATCCATCCCTGGCCCCCTGCAAAGACATACTATCAGTCTATGAGAAAGTACGCAGAAGGCTTTCATAGAAAAGAGCCAGAAGTGTGGCAGGATGCAAATCCCTGGCTCTGCCCTCATTCCCGCAAACTGGCATCTCAGAGGGATCCTGAGAAACTGTTGGTTCCTTCTCAGAAGGCTGTCTCTGGAGTTCAGGTTTCTGCCCTTGACCTCAGAGGACTGTCTGCCTCTCTGGACTGTCTCTCATCCTGAACTTTTAATAGGTGGGCTGGAAATCCCCATCCTCTTCTGGTTAGAAACTATCATAGTATCCTGGGACTCATCTGACCCACCAGCCCCAGACAAGCCAAGCTCCAGATAGCATGGGGAAGGCATCTAGTAATGTCTTCGCTCTGTGTCCAAACAACACATGCCCAAACACAGGCCAAGACACAGGGACTGCCAATGACAGTGAGGGATACCAGGCCCAGGGTCATATGCCAGAAGCACAACCTCTGTTTGGGCCACACCACCTTTGCTCATATAAGGAACCACACCAGGACTAAGAGGCTGTGAAGGGTCTCAGAGTAGGACTTGTGTATCAGCCACTGTGGACAAGTGACTTTACAGGGACCACATCTTCACACGGGGGCACATGTGCTGCCCAATCTGGCAGATCCAGGAAGTCTTCCTGGAGTCAGAGTTTCAGAAAGGCTTGTAGTCAGACATTTGCAGAGGTGACACCCTTCCCAAGATACACAAGAACATCATCCTTGTCCCCTAGGCCTGTAAGTTTCTCAGATGTGCCCTGGTTCCCCTGATGTCTTCCCCAAACACAGAGACTCTCAGCCCTGCTTCCCTTCTCAAGCTTCCAGCTGCTTCCTCCTTTGGGACACTGCCCCCCGCCCCGCAGGTGTAAGGATGCATACCCACTTCCCACAGCATTCTTGAACTCAGTTTGCCATGATCTTTTCCTATGACCCTGGACATACACCTAAGCTTCAGTGTCCCCTTGTTAATCAGGGCTTTGAAACCAAGTATCTGCCACCGCTCCTCTGACACTCAGAGGTATTTACTGCCTCAGATGACTAGACTTGCTGCCTTCCATCAGCCAGCTCCTCCCCTTAGAGCAGAGGCCAACACCTGGGAATAGCAGAAACTGGTTCTTCCAGCCTGGAGTGCCTACCCAACCCTGTGTCATGGGTTCTGGGCTCTCGAAACATCCCTGCCCTTGCCCTAGAGTATCACAGACCCTCTTGGCTACCTGTTTTGCTCCTGCCTGGCCAGGAGACCCAGGTCTCCTACTTACATTGGTGTGGACACAGAGCAACCATGCCATCCAGCTGGGGTGCAGAGGAAGGGAGGGGCAGGAGCCAGAGTAAGCCCTTCCCAATAGAGGCAGCTCCTATGCTGGCAGCCCTCCAGCCTCCAGAGCCCTCATGTAGTGCCAGAGGGATTGTCCAAGAGTTGCCACCTCGCTGCTGGCCCCTGTGCTCTCTGGAGCTCCTTTTGCCCTCCGTACTGGGCCTCTAGGAACCTGGCACCCCAGCAAGATGGATTTCTCTGTAGGAGCCCCTGCATGCTCCCAGTTCCCTTTCATCCAGCCTCCCAGCCTTTGCTCAAGCCTTTGTAGAACCAGGAAGCCTGGCTCTTGGCCACTTTCTGTCCAAACTGCTATCCTTGAAGATCCATCTACAGGAACCCAGTCTTCTCTGTTTCAGCCTCCTCTGGCCTATGGATGGCTCTGTACAGGGAATTATTTCCTTAACAGAGTGAGTCCTGAGTCTTCCTTTACCGGCTCCCTGCCCCTGACCACTGTCCCCTATCACTGGCTTTCATCTTCTCCTCTTTTGTCCATAGGACAAGGCCAAGCATGGGAGAAGGGCAACTATAATGATTCCTGTGTGGCTGAAATCTCCCCAGAGGCTGGGAACTGGTAATGCAGTTGGATGCACCCTCTACAGAGTCATCTCATTCTTTCTAGGACCCGATTACATTTTCTCTTGTACCTGGATGCTCCCAGCTACATAAACGTCCTTGAACTCCCTTCAGCTCCTGGCACAGCTGGCATAACCATGGCTGGCTGCTCAGGCTGTGCACTGCACAACTCTAGCTGTGCCATTCACCACAATGTGATGATGACTAGAGTTGAGTACCACGGCAGCCTCAGGACCCAGACCCCTCTCTTCTCTTAGTAGCTGGGCTACCAGTCAGTTTTTAGAGGAAAGCCCATACAGGTCAGGAAGCAGACCCTTCAGTCATAGACCAGGTTCCCACAGCCTCCACTCCAGGCTATCAACCTCCCTTTATTCTAATCTCACCCCTCAGAGTGAAGGTCTGATTATTCTGACTTTTGATCTGTGGAGGACACTGAACAGCCACCTTTCTCTCTTTTACATTCATTTCTTGGGCCTCAGTTTCCCCAGCTGTAAATAAAGGACTGGGCTTCCTCTGTTCTAAAGCTTTCTTAAGGAATTCAATAACGGTGTGGTTGGTGAGAGACAGGTTTCCCCCTCTACACATACTACCATGTATTTTCAGGTCACTAAGTTTAGGCACCTAAAGAGAAGGGACATCTGCAAATTGCTAAGTTGCCTGGAAGAGCTGAGAGGGGAAGATAGCCAGATCTTGCCAGGGTCATCCGCAAAGCTCCTTGGGATGGCAGTTGAATAAGAGAGGGGTTAGGCAGGTGGGTCACCGAGGTAGGGAGTTTGGCTTGCCCTGAGAGAAAGGAAAGTCTGAAATTGCAATAGGAAAAGCAAGTGTTAGAACAGCACGAGGCAGCAGTGTCCCGAGCAAGGCAGATTCTTCACCTGTCACTGGCACCAGTTCCCAGGGACCTCCACCCAGGGACCAAAGCACCCACAAGCCTAGGCAGAAGACCTGGGGCTGCTCCCCTCCCAGAATGGGGAGGGAGTGGAGAAAATCTTCAGTCTCTGCATGGACCCTCCTAACCACCTCAAGGGTGCTATTTCTCTGAGTAACTGCTACCAGAGATTTTAAAAGGGGGAGTGCCATTTCCTGCCTCCCAGGATCATTGGGCAATAAAAGGCTTTATCACATTGCTTAGTGCACAGTTCAAAAAGAGATTGCTAACTGCTGCTGCTACCACCATGACCTGGCAGACCTGGACCCAGATGTCCAGGCATGTGCACACACATGAGCACATGCAGACTGGGCTGTAGGCTGGGACACACACCCTCCCTTTGTGAGGGGTGGGGGGTGAGGAGGGATCCAGGCAGGAGAGAGGTGGGAGCAGAGAGCCTTTTCCAGCCTTCTGGTGTCATCCCACTGTGCCTCCCTCAGGAGGGGAAGGGAGGGAAGTGGGAAAGGGGGTGTTTAGATGTGTTTGGTTCTTGCTATCTCACACAACCAGCCCCTCCCTGACAGAATTTCTCTGGATGGAAGGGAAGTAAGACTCAGGCATCCAAGTCACAGGGCCAGTGCATAGTGCATTCCCAGGAATTGGAACCTGGCTGGGGGCGGGGAGTCACACCTAAAGTGTGTGCTGATGACCACATTCACTCCATTACTGTTGTGCCTTATGGGTGGAGAAGTGGGGTTCACACCAGGCCCCACGGGATGGCATGGCACCTGCCAACGTCACAGGCTGAGTTCATGGCAGATTCTCACGCACCAGTTCCCAAGAGCTGCTGAGACCATCCTTGCCTGCATGTGGTCAGTCCTGTGGACACAGGCTTTCTTCAGCCGGGCCTCCCAGAGCACGGTGGGGCCCCAGGGTACAAAATGAGGAACAGGGAGTCTGAATCTGGTCCCCTACGGGTCCCAGAACCCAGCGCAGGGCCTGGCACGAAGCAGATGCTGGTGAATGAACGTCTGGCTGGATGAATGAAGGAATGACTAACGCCCACTCCCTCCGGAGCCACGGGCTACACGGGGAAGCCTGCGGGAGGGCAGAGCCCACGGGACCCCAGCAGAGGCCCCGCCTGCGGAACCCCGCACCTGAGGCTCTGCCTCCGGGTTGGGGGGGGGCAGGCGGGGCGGTTCCCCAGACGGAGCCGCGGAGCACCCCTCCTGTAGTCGCCAGGGCATCCTCCTGCCGCCGGACCAGGAATCTGGGTCTCTTGACAGAGCTGGCGGCGGAGGCGGGGGCAGGGGGCTGTTGCGTCCTGGATACCGAGTGACAGGACAGGGGGGCGCGTCCTGGTTTGCGTGGCGGGGCGTAGGATGGATCGGCGGCTGCAGGACATCCTCTTTCGGTCCCAGTGCTGGGATCTACTCCCAGGTCTCCGGAAGGGTGGTGCCAGCTCCTAACCGCGGGACTGGACAGGGGCGCCGCAGACCTGACCCTCTGCAGCGAGCAGTGGCGAGGGCGACGCGGTGTCCCGCGAGGTGACTGGGGGCGCGGAAAGGACGCGGGACGCGCGGTACCCCCAGTGCACGCGCGAGGGTCGGGCCTGGCGGCCGCTGTCCCCACACCCCCGCCCACCTGGAGAGGGGCTCACCTGGGCCGCGCGGTCCCTCCCTGCAGCCCTCGGCGCCCCGCGCCGCGCTCACCTGCGCCGTCCGCCTTGGCCATGTCCCGGGCGGCGGGCTCCGCTGCGCTGCCCGAGCTGCTCTCGGCTC